AAGAATCTGGATTGTCGGTGATAATCTACAAAGCAGACAATTTATCAAAAAACATAGGCGACAATACTGCACGGTTGGCGTTGTGACTGGGTATGCGGCCGCTGTAAGTACAAAGTGTCGGAGGTTCGGTTCTCGCACGGAACAAGCCCTTTGTAGGATCTACAAATTGTTGTTCTGGGTCTAAGCATGATGTGTATGTAAGATTTGTATAATATGGCAGTTTCCAACTAGTCAAATTCAATACTTTTGTCCAAATGTCAAAAACTACACTTTTCTATGAAATACTGAGTTATGACGTCATAGTTTTTTTACGTCAAATAGTTTACTTATTTCTTAAAAATGAGCTAAAAAAATCAAAAGATCGATCGATGAATAAAAGTAAAGTTTTCAATATTTTATTGTATTGAAACGTCGAATTAATTTAATTTTGACCTAGGAAATTACCCACACCCGCGACACATGATGAAAGCCCAGTGCTGAAGAAAGAAAAACTAAAACAATTCCTCAGTAAACTTTCACCCCAGCAGTAACTATACCATGAAGATCAAAACTAACTTTATACCGCAATACTCAACGAAAATTCAATAACACGGAAAGAACAAATTCAGACAATATGAAAGATTCTGAGAATTGAAATATGTAGTAGGGTATGGTAGAATGAATCCGATATGAATGCAGTGGTACTTAAAACGTACTGTTACTGTGAAAACATCGTGCAGTTCCAGCTTTACGCTCTGATATTCCTTTCCTTGTTATCGCCCGGAGCTATGGGAGGCGGGCGGGACTACCAGCTGTGTTACAAGTAAAAAGTAGAAGGATAACTATGAACATCTTCATAATGGTTAAGATTTAAAAACTACCTATGAAATTGCATTCTGCTGTAGTACTGGTCATTTGAAATGACATTTTTTTGTAGATTTACAAGATATTACAAGCATAAATACAAAATATAACTTTTTGTATAATAAATTAGAAATCTATAATAATTTAGGTGTATCATGCTTAGTATGCTTCGGCATGAATGGGTCGGCTCGACTGAAGTGATACCAAGGCCTCAAAGAAAACCGGTGTAAAAAAACTACAGCTTTGTGTTTCGCTGTATGAGAGGTTATCGGATCGGTCTTCCTCTCTTCTCCAATCCTCAATAGTCCAGCCTAGCACCCGTAACTCCTCTGATGTTGCGAGTGTGAGCATGAGCGGCGCCGATTGCTAACCATCCAAGTTCGTTTACCGACCTATCACATAAAAAAAACTTAAAGATTTCTTTTTTCATTTATTTTATCATAACACAGTTGGAATTCTGAGCTTTAATTTTACATGTGAGGGTGGAAGTGGGTGGCAAGACTATGTCGGAAACAATTAGGGCGGGCGCACGCGCGCCAGCTTCCTGTACCTCGCCTAATTGGCGTATCTCTGCGCCGTTCAATGTATCTGTTATAATTGACGTCACTGCAACAATGAGATTAGATTGCTATCTGTTTATGTTAGTAACTCCATTAATGTGGAAGCTTTCATTATGTGCGAGCTTGATATGTGACAATAGACTATGTTGGAGATTACCTACGTTCTGTTTCGCCCTGTATTTACGTGGAAATAAGAATTATGTTCGCACAAACATTTTTATTTCAAAAGTTAAAGTCAAAATAATTTATTTCAATTAGACCTATACAGGCACATGAACGTCAAACAAAATTTTAAAGATATAAAGTGTCAGTCTGTCGTTCAGTCCTCTTAGTGAAGCTATTCGCTCGTTCCAAAGTGTAGATTCCGATGGAGAAGAACGAGCAAGAAACTCCATGGTTACTCTTTTTAAATCAGTGTCACATAAAGATTTTTTGATACATTATTACGTTGGTTTGATTATGTGAGAACAGTGTATTAGTATATACATGGTTAAAAACCATCTAACTGGTAGAAAAGTACAGATTTTTATACTTCGTAATATTTGATACGTAAAGCCAATAGACATGTTGGCTACTATTTTATGAATGTCCTTTTCCGGCAAACAACAGTTTTGTATTAGATAAAAATTAAAATATGACAGTATTTCTATTTTTGTAAATATTATCATGAGTTTCTGACTCACAGCCAAAAAAGTGCGTAGTGCATAATTCCCTCTAGAAAACTGTACGTTGCATCCAACCCTATTTCAAATGACATTGGTATTGACGCAACCCTTCATTAGCAAAACTAATGATTCGCTAAACACCGCCGTGTCCCCTACTACGTATTCCCAAGGCACCTGCTTTGTTCGACCAAAATCTATTTATTCATATCGTATTGCTAATTTGAGGATTAGGTGGCGCGTTCCGCCGGTTATTGAATTATCCATTCCGTTTGCGGGGACTTTGGTCTCGAGGGACAGCGGTACGAGTTACGTTGGTACGTACTCTGTTCGTCTTTGATGTATTTCGACTTTCTTTTTAGTAAAACACTGTTTATTAGATAGACCAAACTGATCAATACTCAGGAATTTGAAACTTTCCTTTTACTTGTTCTATACCATCGTAAAATACATAAATAAAGAACTTTTAAACAAAAAAATTGACAACGAGTGATTTTTTAACACAAGCCGTATAAAAACTCTACATCAATAGAAAATTTATCTGGAAACTTTGGCGATGTTTCTAGAAATCTGTAGAGAATCAGGTCATCATATTTATCTGGTTACATGAAACTTTAGCTCGTTTTGACGTCAACGTTTGGTAGGGGTTGGTTGGGGTACAGTAAAATGTCGGCAAATGTGCCGCGCGCTCTGAATACGTTATTATGTTTAGTTTACGAGTAAATGTTTAGCGCGCGCTGCGGCCAATTAGCTATGTGGTTTATATTCTCTAACTAGTCTCTAGTGTCTAGCTTCAAAGCCTATGTTTTAGAGTAATATAGATTAGTTAATATTAAAGTGTAAAACTGACACTTTTTTCATAACAGCTCAGTAAAATCGGATTGTCGCTCTCTATGATGCACATCCATTTATTTTTGTTCAGTGATTGTTGTATAAAAAATTCTTGAAAGAGGTCCAAAGTAAGATAGATTTGTAAGATCAACAACTTAAGACCTAACCACGAACAGATAACTTTAGGACAAATGCCAGCGTCAACTTGAAGTACTTAAAAGAGGCTATGAACCGTGAAACATCTATAAAACCATCATTAATTCGCGAGCATTTAGCTCATAATTGCTTTAATGGCGTTGACAATGGATCAGTGGAGCGGAGTCGAGGAGCCACTCAATTATGTGGCATTCAGGATCGTGGCTGTTTGCGCTGGTACTCGGGCCGCGGCCTCTTATTGGCTGACGAGGGGCCGACCACCCTCGGCGCGGGTGACAACCAACCTTTGTGGACATTAACATTATTTTTGCACACTACCAATATTTGACTCGTTGAGATTTTATCAATAGATTCTTGTGGATGCGCTTCCTCCGTGTAGTCGCGTACAGTGGGCGACGCAATGTAGTCATTATTTTTACTTTACGACGTGATAACACCGCAGACGACATTTCTTATATTTGTGTATACCTACTGTTTTATCAAACATATGTAAAATGCGATTTTCTCTTTCAAACGATAAATTTTGTATATTATTAACATTTCGATGCGAATAAGGTACATACTGGGTATTCTGATATTGATAGAATTCTTTCTTAATTAAGCTGTGCCATTATCAGGTATTTAACATTATTTTTCTTGAAACGTACCTAAGTACCATACTTACCACATACCGAAACAGAAGCGGTGGCCAAAGATCTATGCAGCAATCGAGGACCTGTAGTCATACAACGAGTGCGCCCCTCGTACGCATTAATGTTATTATTTGGCAACATTTACTAAATAATTTGCTCGTTAAACGTCGGCCGATAGGGAAGAGCCCTCCCTAACTACCGTATTGTGTCGGCGGCGATTTGCCGCGCCTCCCTCGGGACTAACGACGGGATTCAACCAATACGACTCTAACATTAATTACTGCGCCGTCTTTTCTACTAATATTTGTAGCAACATGTTCTTTTGTTACCGATATGAAATTAATAACGGCCTGTTATTGTATGGGGATTACAAAACTATCGCTAACGCTTTCTATGAAGTCTTATAGCTTCAACTTGATGAGGTTTCGCTAATCTCTTGCGTGAGGGAGATTTGATAGCTGAGCTAAAGATTTGATGCGTATAACTAACTGCTACAACTACCTAAATAATATTGAGTTGCATACAAGGGTTTACTATTGTTTTTTTTTTCTTATAAGAATAGCCTATAAAATATATTTTTTGTGTTTCATGTACTAACTAGCACTTTAAGTGTGGGAGAGCCATGCTTCGACACAACTGGGTCGGCTCGACCGGAGCGATACCAGGGCCTCACAGAAAACCGGCGTGAAACAACATAGCACACAACAGCGTTGTGTTTCGCCGTGTGAGTGAGGTTCCCGGAGGCCCTTCCCCAATCCCTCCCCAGTCCCTAAATCTCCAACTACCTAATTCTTAAAAAGTCGGCAACGCACGCGTAACTCCTCCGTTTGCCGACATATTACATAAAAAAAGTACGTTCCATCATAGAAAGGGCTTCTGTAGGTATCCCGCTTTTCTCGACGATCGTTCTAAAGATTGTTCGAAAAATATGATCGATACTGTTCGATCAAAGAACAATGTTGGTTTTAATTAGTTTCTGTGTAATTATTATCGCGATACATAATAAATAGTTACCTACTCATGTCTGATTAAAGTTCGAAGTGCAAGCTGATCATAAATAAGAGTTCCATTGTGACTTAAAAATAAGAAACCAAAATTAACATAAATTCATTTCATACGACTGTAATGTCTAAATTCAAATTATTTGCAAATTAGACACTGCAGCGGCCTGAACTGGAAACGAGAATTTTGTAAAAATGGACCGAACTTTTGAAAGAACAACAACACAAAATGTTTCGTTTATTTATTCTATTCTAAATATATAGATATGTCTTAACAACATTAATAATAACAGAAGTCTTAATCCGAAAGTGTATTTAGTACATATTCACGATGTGTTTGTTATCTATATGGAGAAGCGTTATTTCATTCCAGAATGAAGGTGACAGGCACCACTTCATGCCATTGGGTAAGTTCCACCACAGCCTGAACTTATCATAGGTCTTACGGCCTATAGTGTTTGTGTTTAGGGCTGCACAAAGTTTACAGAGAGGATGGGTGCCCGGTGGGCCCGCGTCTATCGTATAAAAGTGTCTCCATCTAAAGTACTCGTGGTATATCGATGGGTGTTTTATAGCTTGGTGAATGAGGTATGCCAAGTTGTACGGATGATACTCACGGGCGTTGATATACGAACCAGGTGGCAGGAATCTGGAGACAAAGTATTGAAATTGGACAATGGATAAATACTAAGTAATATTACAGACAAAAAATAAATATAAAAACGAAAAAAACCTTACATTTTATGGCGGCATGGAAAGCCGTACGATGTATTGTAGCTAGATTTACTAGTCACACACTTGTGATCTTACTGTTTATATTATTGTATTGTTTAAAATATGAAGTTGTTTATGCAAGAAAATTAATTAACAATACAAAAATAGTTTTTTAGTCTTTAAAAACTCTATAGACACATCTTACCTGGTATAATTAGCACCGCCGTAGACAATGGGGACCGCATAATTATCGTACCCGTGCAGCACCTTCTCAGTGACGTAATCTTCATCGAAAGAGTTCTCAAATGCCATGTAAAAATAATAATCCCTAGTGAACATTTCTTCGCAACTGCTATATCTGCATCTAATGTTAGAACACGCGCCAAACACGTCAATTTGTAGAGAAAAATGGTATAAATGCTCTTGGAGTCGCGTGAGATATTCATCCCTCATGCTTTCTGCGCGACAGTGACTCACCAGCCAACCGGCAGCTCTCGTTTTATTGGCTAACTTTTTAATTACATTAGGACTGATCGGTATATCTTTATGATTTGGCCACTTTACATTGACACTTGGAGCCAAAATGTGCCCTGTCAGATTGCGTACTACAAAATAGGGCCAACCAATGTCTGAATTGAGTCTGTAAGTCATCGTCCAGTTGAAGAAGTTGTCGAAATAGAGCTCACAAGCTGGATAGTTGTATGAAGACTCTATTGTGGCGAATACGTATAATTGTGAGCTAGTTCGATTTATTGGAAGGTATTCTACTGGGAGAGTCAAACTTCTCTCATAAAATAATATAGCGTCAAATTGCGAATAGTCTCCGTTGTATAAATTCTTATCGTGTGTGAATATGCAGTTCTTTACCGGACACTGTAAGTCATCATAGTCAGATATTATGTAGTAATGTTCCCACGACAATATGTACTTGTGTGAATCTAACAACAGCGGCTCTGGCGGTGTCTGCGCCATCTTTCTGCTTGGAATAAATCTAATCCGCCACACAAACACCATCGCAATAATCAATAGAAACGATGCCACTACATATTTTGATGGCCGTCTATAGAAATGAAACAATCTTATTAAAGTTACCATTATATCACATAATACTCAACTTAAAAGCAGTCACAAGTAGTTTATTGTAATATACTCAAGAATATAATCGTCCTTATCCTGTATTTGAATCAATAAACATATGGCTTCAGGTTGCACTATGGGACGTAACATGCTTGTGGAAACTGAAAATGACAGCGACATTGTCTCTTTGACAAAATTTTATTAGAAATAATTAAATATGACGGCACGTCGATTATTTAAATTGAATTCTGAAGGAGGTTTTATTACAATTCATCGGACGAGGATACAATGAATCGTAATCTGGCGGAACGTCAAACAGACTCTGTTTTGTTGAGTTCTGCGTGCGCATTATGGTGGAGAGCGAGCGCTGTGGCTGTCATAGGAGACCTATGAGATGCAACATCTGCAAGAAAGAAAGAAGTAGATGAAAAAGTAAACCACGAAGGCTCAATCTATACTAATATCATAAATGCGAAAGTAACTCTGTATGTCTGTCTGTTTCACGCCTAAACTACTGAACCGATTTCTGTGAAATTTGGTATAGACTCCAGAAAGGACATAGGATAGTTTTATACCAAATAAAAATCTCCAGGAAGTCACTATTCCACGCGAACGGAGTCGTGGACAAAAGCTAGTAAAACATAAGTGCTCATTGGTCTGCGAAACAAATTCCAAAACAATTCTTCTTGCTAAGATAACATTTATTAGTGAAAAAAAATGTACGACATAGGTATTAAAAACATATATTTAAATGCGTCCGGAAACACGATGGCTAACAAAGATTACTCTAATTGTTGTTTTGACGCGTGGGAGTAACTTGACCACTGAATGGCTGCATTGTCCCGCTTAGGTGGTGCCATCACTTAACCAAAGTTAACAATGCGTCCTAACGCCTCACTAATCCGAGATTAAGATCGTATCTGGAACAGGACATGATAAACACTTCACATACAAATACAATTCATGTTTCATGAACAGTTACTTTTAAGTGTTAAAAAAATATTGACCATTGTCACTGAGCAGAGATTAACAGTAGTTCAATGTGGGGTAATAAGTAATAAGTATCGTGATATTTAATAAAAATTTTGAAAATAACGACTTTAATAATTTGTGTTGACTAAATGCCACATAAATTAATTAGATGCTTATATGACAACTTATTATGGTCAGACAGGTGATGTGCTGTTTTTTTTTATTGAATTATTGGTTTTTCAGAAAGCAAGGTTATGTTTCGCATTGTGGTTTAGTTGTAGCTGTAAAAAATAGCTATATATAATGGTCCTGATTGTGTCTTCATTATATTATTATGAGGGGAGGTCCAAATCACTAGTAAGTCGTTCTTTTTGTTCTAGGGTACCCATATGCAGAATACTTAAGTATGGCGTTGAATTTCTGGCGATGTTACTAGAATAACTTTTTACAATATCATTTCTGCATAGAACTTATTTTAGGACTAGACGTAAAGGATGAGCTTTAATTAAGCCCTAGATTGAGAATGAATAGGAACGTTAACAAATAAGCCTCTCCCTAGTTCCTAACGTGACATCTTCGAAAAGAATTGACCGCAAAAAGTTTTGGGCAAAGAGGAATGGAAGAACAGGCTTCTGTCCTGCAGGGAGATGATAACGGTTAACAATAATAATAAAATGTATTCCTAGTAATCCCAAGTTATTGGATTTAAACCTACACGAGAGTACTTTCTACTGAATATTAAAGAATACTATGGACTCATCATCATCATCATCAGCCTATAAGTGCCCACTGCTGAGCAAAGGCCTCTTCTCACACTGAGAAGGTTTGAGCATTAATCACCACGCTTGCTCAAGGCGGATTGGCGATTTCAAACTTATAATTAGAAATTATAAGTCCAGGTTTCCTCACGATGTTTTCCTTCACCGTATGTCAGTAGTGTCTAAATAATCATAGAAAGTACATATAACTCGGAAAAAGTCCCATTGGTACTTGCCAGGTTTCGAAACCACACCCCCATGTATGAGAAGCGGGCTCCTTAGCCTCCTGGCCACCACGACCTTGACCTATGGACTCATACTCAAACCAAACTACAAAAATTCAATATCGTCGAACACTATCGTCGTACCGACTTGTACTTCTGACAAATCTACATTACAACGTTCTTCCGTCATCGTGTCCGAGTGTCGACAGTATTGTCCGAGGAATACAGTTATTGTTGGCAAAATAACTCCATTGTTGGTATATAAAATGTTTGAGAGCAAAAACTTTGAGGACAATAGCACTGTAATTGAATTAGAAGGTCTCGGAGGCGTTGTTATGTTCGTTCTTAGAAAGTACATGCTTACACGTGTGACTTGAACGCGTTTGATTTGTACACGATGCACATCTGTTTCGGACAATGTTACATCATTTGTAGTTCAATGTATTTTGTTAATGAGGATCGTATAAGGAAACTAATAAATATCTATTTGTTTCGATTTGCATATCCATTTTATACGGACGACGAAGTAAACGAATATTTTTAAATATAACAATTAAATAAATTCTCAATCATCATCGCAATGACTTTTGTTTTTTTTTATTTTATTTTTTTTTATTTATTTTTTTGTTTTTTTTTTATGGAATAGGTGGCAAACGAGCAGACGGATCACCTGATGGAAAGCGATCGGCGCCGCCCATGGACATCCGCAACACCAGAGGAGTCACAGGTGCGTTGCCGGCCTTTTAAGAAGGAATATGCTCGTTTCTTGAAGGTTTGAAGGTCGTATCGGTTCGGAAATACCGCCGCCGGAAGATCATTCCAAAGTTTTGCTGTGCGGGGCAGAAAGTTTCGGGTGAAACTCACAGTTGTTGACTGCCAACCATCTATGTGATGGGGATGAAAAACTTTTCGCGTGGAACGATGGCGAAAAGATGCGGCGGGGATCAAACCAAACAATTCCTCAGAACACTCCCCGTGATAGATGCGATAGAGAATACATAGCGAGGCTACATCTCTACGCAGTGCCAAAGAGTCCAGCCGGTCCGAGACAACAGGGCAGTCGACAATTCGGACAGCTCGTCGTTGAATGCGGTCTAGAGGGAGAAGCTGGTACTGGGGTGCCCCCGCCCAAAGATGAGAACAGTATTCCATATGGGGCCGAACTTGCGCCTTGTAAAGTAGCAGGCGATGCTCCGGGGTGAAATAATGCCTCGATCTATTGAGCACACCAAGCTTCTTCGAGGCTAACTTGGCCTTACCCTCTAGATGACCGTATTAATGTAATTAATGTATGACCAACTATAATACCAATGTATAACGAGTTATTTAATAATATTATCTTGACAGATATTTAATGAACTAGTAAAAACTAAATATCAATCAATTACTAGTGTTCCAGTGCTCTAGTAAATTGATATTTTGAACTTAATACGAGGTATTATTGTGTACCATTTTAACAAACTTTGTTGTCGATATTGTTGCATGCGTCATGATCACCAAATTATTAGGAGGAATACAAAATTATTTAGTTGTGCTTGTAAGATTTTTCCTTATTTAACAAGACACAATCGGCAAAATTAATACGTGTCTTATCAAAATATATCTGTGATCTGTTCACTACACTATCTTTATTAAAGAAATACTTTATTTGTCTTTCTTAATATTATCTTTCTTTATATATCGTTAGTTACAATCCTTCTTTATTAAATTATAAATAAGAAAGGTAACTTATATTAAATAACAATTTTAATTGTGTACATTTACCATGTATTCGAGCAAAAATAGCAGATACTTATATAAATTATTTCTTTAAAACGCTACGCACGGTAAGAGATTTACAAAATTTAATACTATTTCTATTTTAAATGAATTATAAAATAAAGGTGACAATAAATCCATTCAATTCAAAGCAAATCAAACCAAAACACAATGCAATAAGTTAAAATATTCAAATAGCAAAAAGTCTAGCAATAAAACCGTTTAAATATTTATGAAGTATTTATTTATTGTGAAAACAGTAGCTTTGGGACAATGGCGCCCCATTCATGGCGAATGTTCCCCGGCTCTTGTCAGGGCAAGTGAAGTATGCTCTGTTGACCACTTAAGAGCTTCCGCCATTTGTGGGGAAGAGCCATGAGTGTGATCTATTGAACTATTCGTGTGTGCTTAACGTTGATGGTAATTTGAGTAAATTGTGGTTTTATTTGATATTTTTATATCAAAATGAAGACACACTAAACATTATGTATCTGAGTCCGGTTTTGTTATTCTTACCTAGCACACTGCTAAGCGTTCAATTAAACCTTATAATAAGCATATGACCTATTTTCTAGATGCTAAATTCTAGCTTATTAATATAGTCTATGTAGTATAATTGGAATCGACTAGTACTCAAAATTAGGAAAAAGTTAATGTTGAATCATTGTTTTCTTAATTGCTCTACATGGTTGACGCGGTGGCTGGAGTGCAACGTATTGTGCGTTCGATTCCCGCACGGAATAAGCTCTTTGTGTTAACCACAATAGTATGTAAAGTTGTGTTTCAAAATATACCCATGACACAGACATCAAAATCATAGTGTGAGCCGAATTGATTTTCTCCTTAGTTTCCATTTTGGGTAAATAACACGTAATAAATAATGATACCTAACTAAGAGTCAATATCAACATAACACAATTCTACGACAAGATGTCACGTCGACATAGCATTAAATCATGACCGGATATTTTGACAAGGCAAAAATTATATCAATTACGGCCATACGGTTTCCTGTTGAACAAAATATTATCGCAAAAAAAAGGTGCAAAGATCGTAATATTTATTAATAGATTTCCGATTTCGCGAATCAGTTCTCAGTGAGCATAAGCTCAAGTGTCGTTACAATGGCGGTCGGAAGGGCCGGGCGCACCATGTGCTAATCCACTTAACGTCGGTTAATCCT